CTAGAAATGAATAATTCTTATTTTTTATATTTAGTGTTTCCAGTAAGTATCATTTTATGTTTCTAAATAGTTGTTGACAGCAGAAATGGAGGGTCATGATTTAAGGGGACAGGAATCTTAGGAGTATCGGCACAGAACCAAAACCAAATAAGAACAATAACAAAAATACATTATTTTCTAGCAACATAAAGTTACAATATTTATTTAACAAATAATTACTGAGCACCATCTTCTGTCAAGTAGTTTCTAGGTGCTGTGGATGTCAGTGAACAACACACTCACAAAAAACAATTTCTGCCTTCATAAGATTTGCATTCTATTAGGTATTAATAAGTATAATAAATAAGTAAAATGTGAGGTTAAATGTGGAAAAAAGAAAAAAGAAGAGCAGGGTAAGGGACTAGGAGCAGATCACAGTATCACACATAGTGGTCAGGATGGGCTTTGTTTCCAAGGTGACACCTGACCCTGCTTGCACAGAGCAGGCTCCTTATCACTTTAGGGCAATAATAGCAGAAATCCTTTTATTTTTTGAGTGCCTAGTATATGTTAATCCTATCCTAGGTGCCTTTCAGTATCATTTCTAATTTTCAAAACTATCCTATAAAGTAGGGTACTTCATCTCATTTTTTTACAACAGGAGAATGAAGGCTTAGGGAAGTTAATTATGGGGCCCCAGATCACACAGCAAATAAATGTCCGAGCAGCAATCTTTATTTTGGTAACTCATTCAAAAGCTCATGGTCTTTCTACCCTACCAGTGTTGCTCAAGATGTGGTTTCTCAAGGTATAGGGTAGGAAGCTACTAGAACTCTCTGGAGGTGTACATTAACAAGTGCAGATTCGAGGTCCCTATGCAGGTGCTACTCAATTCCATTTTCTGTAGAATGACCCAGTAACATGAATATTTAACAAGTTTCCATGAAAACTCTGCCACATGCTCAAGTTTGAGAACCACTATTAAAACGTGCTGCCTCTGCCTTTCGATAGAGTGATCATGATGTTTGTTATCATGACCTATTTCTAGCTGTAATATTTCCAAACCAGGGTTGAAAAGCAAATTATCATGTGCAAAAGACTGTCCGAGACTGAAGTATCTGTTAGCCTCTGGATCTAAGTGCTTATTCTGTACTGTGGGTCAAAGTCAGGTTTGTTTCTGCCTTTGCCCATTAACCCAGATCCTAGCCACATGAGAGAGGCAGTCCCAGCACTAAGAAATTAAGGACACAATATTCTTGGGGGTCCCTGCTAGGTCTCTTGGGGATTCTATATCCCTTCCATCAATTCTGAGGAATCACTGTCTTCAGGACACATTCTGCCTTCAAGAACAACCTCAGAGCCAATTCTCCTAATAAGTCTTCCCTTTCTAGTGTTAATGGAAGTGACACCTTCCTTTCCCAGCTCATAAAATAAACCCTTTCAAGAAGTGAAGCTGCACAATTGCTATCTACTTTCACCTTTCAGGCCCCACCCACCGGCTTCATCCTTCCTTGTTTGAAAATTTAACAATTCTAAAAGCTTCTTTAAAAAGAAAACCAAAACAAAATGAAATAGCTATATATATGGCTGCATTTTTGTCTACCCACATAAACCAGCTCTGTGAACCAACTGCTAGCCTTGGTAATAACCAACTAAATTCTGAAATGCCAAATATGCCAAGAAAATCCAAAATGTGATGCAATTTTCTTCAAGAAAGACGGGAAGTTGGTGCTGGGATATTCAATCATGAAAATTTTAGAAGGAGAAGGGATCTTGGATATCACTCATTCAACATAGTCTTTTGATAACCAAAGAAATCAAAGAAAATGAAATCATGCTAGGCACAGTGGTGCATGCATATAGCTTGTAATCCCAGCAGCTCAGGAGACTGAATCAGGGGTATCACAAGGTCAAAGTCAGCCTCAGCAACCAAGTGAGGCTTTCAGCAACTTGGTAAGATCCTGTCTCAAATAAAAAATAAAAAGGGCTGGGGATGTAGTTGAGTGGTTAAATGCCTCTGGGTTCAATACCAATTCCTGGCACTTAAAAAAAAATCATGTAGCTAATGAGGAGCAGGGACGTGACTATAGTAAAGTTTTCTGGCAACAGTTTATTCTTATAGATCCAGCTTGGAATCTTTGCTCCCTATTTCCTCTCACTCCACTGTTCTTTTTCTCAATACACAATTCCTATTATCAAGAATGATTATATTGTCGATTAACTCAGTCTAAGAAAGGTATCCTTCATTTCTCCATGCTCAAAGATTCTCACATGTATAAAGAACAAGGATTGGTAACAGGGAAATTATACATCACACAACTACCATTGACTGATTAATTAATTCAACCAATATTTATTTTTTTCTACCATGTCCTGGGCACAGGCATGATGTAAAAAAGAAAGTAGATGGAAATGGACAAAAATTTACATTTTAGGGAGGAAACACATTAAAAAAAAGAAATCTGTAAAACTCTCCATTGGTATTGGTGAGTGCTAAGGAGAAAAAGCAGAGAATAGGAACAGGAGGTGAGGATGTATGTGGGGGGGATGGTGTCAGAGGTGGAAGAGTTGCACTTTTTTTGTGGTGCTGGGGATTGAACCCAGGACCTTATGCTTGTGAGGCAAGCATTCTACCAACTGAGCTATATCCCCGCACAAGGAGTTACATTTTTGACCAAGTGGTCAAGAAAGTCGTCTTTAAGAAATAAAGACCATATCTTGAGAACACACACGAGTACTACCTAAGAGAATCTCAAAACCTATCCCTGCATAGAATGATAAACAAAGATCAGATTTGGGGGCCTGAGGCTGTAGCTCAGTGGCAGAGCACTTGCTAGCATGTTTGAGGCACTGGGTTTAATCCTTAGCACCACATAAAAATGAAACAAATAAAATAAAGGCATGCTGTCCATCTACAACTATAAAAAAAATTTTAAAAAAGATTAGATTTGGGAAGGTTGAAAAAATTGGAATACTGATTTTTTCCCCTGCTGCTGTTAGTATTACAAGTGGCTGGAAACGGGAAGAAATAGGATGGCACAATTAAGAGGCAGCAGCTTCACTTTCAAGGACGCCAGGAAGAGTTTTGTTAGTATCTGAGGTGAAAAGAAATGTGTGATGGTTTATAGTTTAATATAAAGAAAAACTATGCTTAGACAGAATTTAGAGAATAGAATTAAGATTGATGAGAGGTATTATTTTGCTAAAAATAATTCAGAGAACATGAAGTAATGCCAAGACTACTTGGCAAGATGATATGTGACTTAAAACTTGACAAAAATGTTGAAAAGTTCAGACATTTGATTCATCCAAATATGTAATTAATTATGAGGATTGGGGCTGAAGTGTGAAATTTATATAGAGATGATGACTAATTCAACAGTTTTGAGATCTTACCATGTGCTACACAGGGACAATATTTGAGAGATGCTGAGGAATGGGACACCATTCTACATCAGGGAACTTTTTTCACTGTGGGTAAGTTCGTTTGCTCTACCTCCTGGGCATCTAGCCTGAATACATTTCCAAGTCTTTCTTCTAGTTAGGAGTGACTTGTGAATAAGTTCTGGCCAATGTGATCTTAGTGCATATTTGTTGGATGCTTCTTCTAAATTTGCCCATAAACCTTAAAGGATTGCAGTGTCTCAAAATGCAAAGTGATGTGGTTCCTCAGTTATCACTTGCAAGGCTATCTGCCAAATATCTGATTCAACAACAAGATATCATGTCAACAAGATATTTACATCTGTGGTATTAAAGTACTGAGATTTGAGGCAGCTTGTGTTGCCCAAGTAATAAAATTATTAATAAACACTCACATAGACATTTACAGTTTCAATAATGCTTTCACATATTAAATGATTCTGACATCTACTCTGGGAACTAGATCAGATTTTCATTTTTCCCATTCTATAGGAGCTGAAATTGATACCTACTGAGTATTGAATTACTTGGTCATAATCATATAGGTAAGACACAGAGGGCAAGTATTCTAAACCACTAGCTCTCAAATTTATTTAAAAAATTAACGTAAGCCAAGCATGGAGATCGATCTATGTAAGACATTTGATAAGCATAGACAAACTTAAGAATATTCAAATGAGCCAATTATTATTCTTGATTGAAAGAGTCACAGAAGACTCTACTGGAATAGCTAGGCTTTATGGTGTTTGCAAATTGACAAGAGAAATGAGAGAAGAAACATGGAGACAGTTCCTGTAAATTTTGACACGTAATATGAGTGGAGAACAGAAATAGAAGAGAATTGGCATTTGTTCTAATGTTTCAAGGGAAGCTGGAGCAAGCAATGCAGTTTTATGAAGGAAAACAGGAACTGGTAATTCAATACAAATCAAAAAAATATTTATTGAGTGCTTGCCAGATGGAGGGCCTTCCAAAACTGTACAGAGGATACAGAGAGGAGATAACAAGGGCACAGCCCTTGTTTTAAATGCATTTATAATCTACTAGGGGAAATGGTCACAAATGACCGTAACACAATGTTGAATAAGATAAACATCAATAAGAACAGCAATGGGGTTCAAGAGACAGAAAAAAGGCATGGGAAGGACACAGGAAGGAAAGGTGAAGCTTCATACAGGACACAGAATGTCAAAATTGACCCTGGAGAAGGTACTGTCACTGAGGATGACACATATTCATGAACACATGAACTCACAAGGACCACAGACAGAATTCCAAAGAGAAGGGTTTTATCAATATTTTGAACAAGGATCACTGTTTTACGAATAATTAAATGACTCCAAAATATGATTCTTGTTTAGGGCACAACAAAATGAAATTTATAATTAGGGAATGTTTGTTTAAACATGGAATCAAAAACTTACAGTAATATCATGTTATAAAAATTTCTATTCCTACCAAAACTGTCTAACTTCCAATGAATTCACTCAACAATCAGCATTACAAACCACAAGGTAGTGAATTTGTGTTTCCTTATGTCACCAGAGGCAATCAAAAGGCAGTTTACTAAGATGTTCTGCCAAATAAGGGCCACCTACCATGAACAAGGCTTCATAATTTTCAATCATCTTCTGCACCACAGCAATGATGGCCGTGCTCTCTTCAGCTCTGGCTGAGCTCTGGACTGAGAATTCTTTGTCCGATGACTTCTGTTTGTGCAACAGGTTGGGCCCAAATATGGTGGCCAAGTTTAGAGATGTCATTTTGTTCCCAGTGACCTATTGGAGAAGAGAATACAAAGACTGTAGTTTTGTTTGCTTTTCAAAATACTGGATGATTCAATCAAAGAAAGTTATTTCCTTTTCCATTTTTTCCCTGCAAGAACAATATCATCTCTGTCAGAATCCATGAAAGGTACCATCATTTTCCTTTTGTCTCATATATTGGATTGAAGCTCAGAGTTCAAAAACATATTGAATAAAAATTTGCAATTTCAAGGTGTTTATTATGAAACTGGTACTATATAAAATTTCTATCCTGTCTATACTTAAAAAAATATTGATATTCACCCATCCATCTCTTTATCCATCCCTTTTCCCATCAGTCCATAATGTTTTTATTGATCCATCCAAATCAGCACCTATCCCAGGCTAGGAATTTTTCATGGATACTATTTAATTTTTTTTCCGACAACAATCATAGTACAGCCCTTATTTTAAAGGGCTCACATTCTAGGAAGGAAATAAGCCTATCATTTTCAGGTACTGAACATGAAGTACAAAGCTGTCAGCTCCAGAATCCATGGGAATACTACCATAGAGGTAGCAGTATTTGGACAACATCTAGATGGAAGAATGGAGTTTGCTGGGCTGAAAAGCAGAGAATCTGGGGTAGGGGGCAATATTCATAATAAACACCATAAGCAATGACAAAAGCATGGAAAATACATTAAGGAGTGTCAGGAAGCTCAGTGCAGCAGGGGGTGTTGCAGGAAAGGCTGCATCTTTCAACTAACAATCTATGGCCCAGGGAATGGCACATGCAATGGAATGAGAATACCTGAGACACACCACCACAATCTAGGTTACAGTGGTTAGCTTTTCAACTAAGGTGGAAGAAGTAGGGGTGAAGAGAGGCATCCAAAATTATTGAGTTAGAGAAAGTGAGAGGGATAATGCTGAGGGTGACGATTCCATGTTTGAAGAAACAAACCAAAAAAAATGGAAATAGAGTAGTCAAGGAACATGGAGGTCTGAGGTCGATTTTGTTAGACTCCAACAACCTTAAGGAGCACCTGATGAAGCAGGCCAAGACTGGGTCAGAATAAGAGAAACCTGTGCCTGAAAAGAAATCCTAGGGGAATTCCAAGTGTGTGATCCCCTGTGGTAGATGTTCACCAAGGTATTATGCTCCCCTCTAGATTGAACTCTGGTGGTTCTGATGGCCTAGTTCAGAGCCATTTTGATGGTGTGGCAAGAAGTAGAAACAGTGAATGGAGACACTTTCTTCAAAAAGGTCTCATGGAGAAGGAGGGAGAAAGATGGGAGCAGCTAAAGGGGAATACATGGTAAAGGAAAGGAACTACTCTTTAGCTGGAAGTATAAAAAATGACTCATATTTGATACATCAAGAAGTAGAAAGCAAAATAAGCATATAGAAATCACATGCCCATAATTATTTCATCACTTCCAAGAACCAACTGTTCAGATGCT